CACCGCCTTTTACCTCCCCAACCGAAGTCAGGTATCCATTTGTATACCTGGGTGGAGTGAGGAAAGTCGTGTAAAAGCGTGAGTCGTGGCCACTCGGTAATTCTATTCTCTCTTTGATGTTTGATTTAGACAGTCACGTTCACCGTGTTTGGGTTTTGTCTGGCGTATGATTTTCAGCGCTACACTAGGACAGAACCGATATTGTTGAGAAGGACTGCTTTTTCTGCCACTCAACAATTTCTTTAGGCTATATAAGACGCATCTCAACTCGGAGTACCCTCGGAGTACCCCAGGTGAAGCAGTCCTGACACACAATGCCATTGGGCCAACCTTTCAAAGGACCTTGGATTGTACCAGCACATTTAGACTAAGCGTTAACTACACTTCAATATTTCGGTACAGCTGAACTCTAGATATAAATACCATGGCGATATAATCTACGACTGCTCGTGACGTTAGGGTTAGCCTGGTCATTGCGTACTAGTAGTGGTGGTATTGAGGTCATTTGAGTTTCTAAGCGCCAAATGGCAGACATATGTTTTGGCTCTGGTCCCATTATTTCTAAAGCTTGTCACAGTTCAGCCGGAGGGTATATGGAGAGACTAGCTTTATCTGTGTCACATAACGTGATGTAAGCTACCAGTTGAGTTTTGTCCTGTCTGTACAAGCTGGCCTCCACCAGGCCTTCCTAGAAAAATTCATATTACGAATGCATATAAACAAACCATCCATCGAATAACATATCTGTTCTTTTATTTCCAAACTGAAAAGCTTTAGTTTTATTAGTTTGTTTTTGTATGTATGTATCTGTTCATCTTGTTTTGTTGTGACCTGTACTTAGCCCAGTGTGGAAGAAATGTGCAATAAAGGTCGCCATTCATTAGAGATTTGGTCAGAATGGGCGTGAAAATGAGCCTATGGTGGCCAAACTCTCTGACCAGTTATTTTCCCTATTTGGCTAAAGTTTACTATTTTTTTTCAAACCCGCGTCGTTAGTCTCGTGGGAACCAAGAACTAGCTGCGTTTATCTACATGTGGAAATAATTAAGTTGATACATTCACACTGAGACGTGCCCTACTTCTCTCAAGGACATGCTTTATGTCACATTGTGTGGCTGTCCTTCAAGACGGGACTCGAGGCCAAATTAAGTCCTCAGAAATACTTCAACCCGTACATCCGAAATGCTCCGGATCCCTTCGGCAGTCGGACCTGCAAAACCTTGGAATTGGTACACAATGTGCCACGCTAAAGTAACTCTCACATGATGCAATACAATAATGTGAATGTAAATATCATATTGTTATGATTACGGTAAACCTGCAACAGCTTCAAAGTCTCTCATTGAATGCCGCAGGTGGTGTGACTGCTGTTTAACTACTGCTTTCGACTGCGACAATAGACTTTAGCTTTTCATCTTGCCATTGACCACGAAATAATAGTCGTAACACCTGTTTCTGCTTTTGCTGTAAGAGGATAGTATGTTAGCCTGAATGTTTTTCTGTGTTGGAAGAAATTATTCTGAACCAGGTTTGATCTGTGATTTTCCAACACACAANGCAGTGGGTTGTTGATCCACTGTGTCTAGGACCTAGGACTAGGGCACGGTATTGGAAGGCGGAGCCCATCCCTCTCCTTCCACCGCCTTTTACCTCCCCAACCGAAGTCAGGTATCCATTTGTATACCTGGGTGGAGTGAGGAAAGTCGTGTAAAAGCGTGAGTCGTGGCCACTCGGTAATTCTATTCTCTCTTTGATGTTTGATTTAGACAGTCACGTTCACCGTGTTTGGGTTTTGTCTGGCGCATGATTTTCAGCGCTACACTA